AAATTAATGAAATTAATTATCAATTTTTCTAGTCATTCAATTACCTAACACACCATTCCTATTTGCTTGTAGGTTTTTATATATTTAGTTAAATGCTATTATAAATCAAATATTAAATTCCAAACTAAATTATCTCAATAGAATAAATCATCATCTATACCTTAAAGGGCTATAGATTCAAAATTGAGAACAATTTCTAGAACTTCTGGTAGCTGTTACTTAAGTTATTCAATTGTTAGCTCGAATTTATCCATTTACTTCATATTCTTGTTGAAATCATCTTCATATTAGACTATTGAATAGGCCTCAACTGCTAAACCTATGGATTTTAAAGCAAAGCCAAATACTTCAGATAATTTTGCTTGTTTTACTACAGTGTTAACCTTTTTTACATTGAATTTTTCAATATGCTTGAAATCGCCTGTATTCTTTCCAATCAATCTTATTCCATCGGCACCCTTAGATTTAATATCTAATCCTCCAAGATTCTAAATTTTTTGTAGCTCTCTAATGGGCTTTGAGCCTATCCCTGTAACTTCATAAATTTTTTAGCTATTTCTTGTTAAATATTTTACTTTTTACTATTGCCTTAGCAAACTTAGCCGTATACCAGAGAACTCATTCCCTAAAACACTAAAATATTATTTTTTGGATTCTGGAAACTTAAACTCCTCTTCTGAAATAATTGTAGAAAGCATTGAAAGTCCAGGATTTTTCTCTTAGTATTCAGAGGCTGTAAAAATAACATAATGTTCAATAACTTTTTTTTATAGTTGTGGATAAGAAATGTTGGCATTATTTTTAATAGCTTTGATTATTAAAAACACAAGTAGTCTTTTGAGTGAAGAGGACTTTTCAATTATTTCCTTAATTTATTCGAGAATTTCCATGATCTATTTAACATCCTGCATAAAATCCTCTACCCTTTTAACTTCTCTTTCAACTACTTTTTTCATGTCGTTTAATATAAACTTTTCAGTTCCGATTTTAGATATTAGAGTAGAAGCAGTTAATCCAAAAACTATAGATCCAATAGGTGGCACAACAGCAACTCCTGCTAATGCTGCTCCTGAAGTACACATGCCAGCAACTGAAGTAGCTATAGACATTCCACTAAGTGTATGAGACATGAATCTCGATATACATAAAATATCTCGTGTAGAAGGTATATCAAGTTTTTTAAGCTAATACTCAAGAAATTCTTTTTAGCTTTGAATATTTTATATTTTTTTTACTAAATCTTTATAAGGCTTTATAAAATCTTCATTTTAAAAATGGAGCTCAAATTGAATACTTGCAAATTCAAAAACACTTAATGGTTTTAGATCTGACATTCTTAATACTTGATTTAACTTATCAGTTATTGCTTAAATTTATTTCTTCAATTCTATTTAGTTTCTTAGATTATCTTATTTATTTTAAAATATTTCGTTGATTGTACTTAGAATACGATCATTTTATTGCTTATAAAGAGAATCATCACCAGAGTAATTTGGCAAAAAGAAGCAATTATTTTCATTAATTCTCTATTCATTTTAATTATCAAAGCTTTATGGGTCGATTTCTTCATTATTCTCATAACCTAACGCCTCTCTAAGATTAGTTACTGCTAATATTTACTTGCTTTATATATCTGCTCCTTTTATCATTTTTATTTCAGGGAGAGATCTCTTTTCATTTTCGAAAGTCTTAAAGCAGGAAATAAATTCTTCAAAATCTTCCCAATCATGATAATACTCATTGAAAACGAAAACAATATCGCAGATTTCTAGCAGAAATACTGACTATAAAGCGGATGAAAATTTAGATAGATTCCGAGCATCCCGTCTTCTTTCTTAGTTACTCGTACTCCAAGTGATTTGATTTTGATATTTCAATTTGCATTCTGAGCTCCCAAAACCTTCAGCATCAATTAAAACCAAATCATAATCATCATCTTACTTTACAGCAATATCTTAACCTACAGTTGTTTGATAACCTTATGATTCAATAGAACTTGATTGAAAATTCACATCAAAACTAGATCTCAAGAAGGTGCTTTTACCTATCTATTGCCGACCAAGTACCCCAATAACAAAAGCTTATTTGTTTTCGTTCAATATTTTATCTAAATTTTCACTATTAATTTAAATTTGTGGTTTTCGATTCTCTTAATCAACTTGCATTTATAGTAATTTCAAAGGTTCATTCATTGCTTCCATCAGTATGATCTTGGATTTATTCAAAAGAATTATAAACTTTAATTATTCTTCAATTCTATTCTATTATAAGCATTATCATACTATATTGATAAATCTATAAGTTATTTTCAAAATTATTCAGATTTAGCACTCACGGGGTTTTGGGGTTTTGGGG